ACACGCATTTATCCCAGTAGCGATAACAGACTTCGAAAAATTTCTATGAAATTTAAAATATAAGAGACTTTGAATAGCTTTAGTGATCGCATTAATAAAAACTAATTACATTCTAGTAGGCATGCTTGGCATACACAGTTGTACAAACCAACTGCTCATTTGTTAATAGCTTTTTACTCAGTTGTTGAAATTTGTTTTTCTTTAAAGTAATTGATAGATTAGGATCATAGTTTACTATAGGTATGCAAACAGTAGATAAATCTTTACATTTGAATCTACACCAATGAATTTTTACACTAAAAGTCCGCGATGTGTAGCGAGCATTTTTCACTTCATTTTTACAACGCAAAAACAAATACAGTTTATTACAAGAATTAAAACCTACTTTAATTTATGTATCTTTAATAAGCTTAAACTCTATTCTATCTACTGCTTCAAAAATAACTATGTTTCGTCAACTCTGGGTAAAGTTATTAGCAAATGAGCAGTTTGTGACCAAAACTGTGTATGCCAAGCATGCTAGTAGGTACCCAAAATTATAAAATGTTTCAAGATTCTTGAACTTCCTAAATTAAAAATAACAGTGGATTTATATTGTTATTGTCGAAGCAAAATTTAACCGTCATTAAAACCTAAATTGTTCATTGAGTGTATACCCTTATCATGCTCCTTAAATCCTTCTTCTCTGATTTTATGATTATGAATAATGGCATCAATTTAAAAATATAGATATTCATCCATTCCATAGCAAAACTATAAAGTGGTTCTCAAAATTTCGTAAAAATTGAAGTTTTGCACCTTATCGCAAAATATTCGACCTTTTTTATTTTGTCATAAGGGCAACTGTTTCCATGTTAGAGCGGACTAAAAATTTTTTTTTTTTCAAAACTGGCTTTAAAAAAAAATAAAACTTATGAACCACTAAAAATTCTTATCCCAAGCAACACACATGTTCTATAACAGGATATATAACCTTTATATGACTCGTTTTGGTTTTAAAGCAGTTTACTCAACATAGTTATATGAATTTGTGTTACTCGGGATGTATAATGATATTATAAATTTGGGATGTAGTTAACTAAACTTTTATTGTATTTGTTTTTTTAATGGTTTACATGGTTTGCAGATAAAGGGCGCAATATGCTTTAAATATTTTCGTTATAATTAGTGCTTTTTTAAGCACCATATAAAAATAAGCGATGTTTTTTTTTTCGTTTATGAGCTATATTTTTTGAAGTTATCAAGATTTGGGTGTTCGCTCTGTACTCCTATGCGAATAGACTACCATGAGTCTCCATTGATTAATAGTGACTGTAACATGATTACGAGTTGAACAGAAGCGGTGTAGACATGTGAAGACATTTATTCGATCTCGTTTGATGATTTTTCTTAAATCCCCTGGCACTTCTGCCCTGAGTACTCAAGTTTGGTTTGCCTCATGTTAGATTTTGGTATGATAAAAGATACGGACTCTTTTCTCAAGGACACCACAAATATGTTCTGATGTGGCCGAGTGGTTCTCGGTACTCAATATATCCACCAGAACATCGACCAAAGGAGGCATCGACTTCTGGAAAGATTGACTTATGGAGAATTCAATACATGGAAATCCATCGAGTTATAGAAAATATCGAGTTGTAGAATACAGAGATGTGGAGAGTTGACTGAATTTAGATTATCAATATCTTTTTAAAAAGCAGAGTGTTATAAACTACCTAAAAAATTAAGAAAAAAAAAACAGGAAATGGCTGAAAAACTTTGAATATTCAGGAAATTTATCTTAGCTGAAAATCTGGAATTCTCAGGGAATTTTCAATTTCGCATATTAAGCTTATTTTTTTAAAATAGAATAAATTTAATTACGCCAGAGAAGATTCTCATGAATTTTAAAATATTTCATAATTCATTCTCACTTTCACTCATTGAACATAATAATTCTGGAGTGGCTGAATAACATATATTCATAGGTTGAAGTGCATTGCTTTAAGGTTCTGGATCATGGATAATTTCTACAGATTTAAAACTTGACTGGAAAATTGGGAGCATCTTAAAATTTTCCCATTTCCTTAAATAAATGAAACTGTAATCAGCTTTCCTTAGAGTTTGTCGAGAAACTGCCCTAAATTTAAGCAACTTCTTTTAAATGTTCCCGCATTTTCCTGATGTTCGCGAAACTTTCATGATGATCTCTTTGAAGTTCTCGGATCTCCTCTACAATTTACTGAACTTCTAAGACGTTTACGAGGTTTTCTAGACTCCTATGCTCTCAAAGGTTTCCTGAAAATTTAAAACTTCACTGAAGTTTTTTTAGCTTCCCTCATATTCACAGAACTTATTTTTCCTGAAATTTAAGCAAAATAATCTATTAAGTTCTAGCATTTGCAATGAAGTTCTCTAAATTTTCCTAAAATTCATGGAACCGCCCATTAATGGTCGGATTTGATTCTTTAACATCTTTGAATTTCCCCAAAAGTCTAGACATTCTTTGATGTTTTTCATGTTTTCCTAATGTTATTCGAACTGCCCGAAAGATCTCTGAATTTCTTTAAGACTTCCGAGAAATTTTCACTATTCTTCTGAAGTTTCAAGATCAAATTCAAATAATTGAAGGTCTTTTATTCTCCTTAAAAACTTTGCTGAAGCTCTTGTAGCTTTCCCCTTATCTTCTCCGAACTTCTATGGACTTTCCTGAAGTTTTCGATGCCTCCCTGATGTTCTCTAAATTTTCCAATGATCTGGAAATTAGCATGATATTCATATAAATTCCTGAAGATCGCGCAATGTTCTTAAGTTTTCGGATCATTCCTGAAATTCTCGGAATATTCCAAAATTCTTCGGAGCTCAATAAAAGTTTATGCAATTTTCCTGAACATCTATGATCTCCTTTGAAATTCTCTAGGACTTCGATCAGAGAAATCAGAACTACTTTTTTTTCCTTTGGTTTGTTTCCCGTCGATCTTGTTTTCCGTGCTGAGCACCAATTCTACCGACGCCAGGGAGGCAATTCTCACACCTGGACCCTACCTATCGACCCATCAACTCATAGACCGGGGACCAACGACTTTACTTCCCGGCGTGATCAGAGATGTTATGCCTCAGAACATCCTGGCGTCTCCGACTGGGATTGAACCCAGGCTTGCTGGGGTGAGAGGTAATCACGCTTACTGCTACACCATCGGTGCTGATACTTCAGAACTTCTTAAAAACTCTCGCATTTTTGTTGACGTTAATTATACTGTCTTCTGAATTTCATTGCAGTTCCCGTTTTTTTTTTTAAGTTCTCAAATATGCCATGGAAGACACATAATTTCTTCCTAAATTTTCTCACATTTCCCATATTTCATGTTACTTTCCTAACGTTTCCAAAATTTTCATGAACGTCTTGAAACCATGCTTCCTTTAAAATTGCAGCATTTTGCATTAAAAGATCTACAATCTGTCGTGATTTTCAAGGAGCTTCCGTGAAGTTCTCTCAAATTTCCTGAAGTTATTGGTTCTTCTTCTTCACGGCTTATAACATTTCTGTAGCGAGCGTTTTTCTGACTCTAAACTTAGTATTCTAATTGCACTTCCACAGTTATTAATTTAGAGTTTTCAATTCGAACCAATGCATTTTATTGTGAGGCAAGCAATGTGTCCAGAGAAGTCAAAAAAATTGCCAACTCGATAGATTTCTTCGCCCAGACTGGGTATCAAACCCGCCACCTTCGGGTTGGTAATACCGTGTCTTTACTGACTATCCTATCTGATGCCCTTGAAGTTCTTGGTACTGCCCTGAAATAAATATAATTGTCCTGAAAACCTTTAGACATCCCTTAATTTCTATGGACTGCTGTGATGTTTCTGTAATATTTCTGATATTTTCTTAAGCTCTCTGTTTTCTGAACTTTCCTGAAATTCGCAGTGCTTCTTTAAAAAAAAAATAGAGAAGCTAATGGAACTGTCTTGAATTTATCGGAACTTACTCTTACAGATCTTTAAGCTTAGCGGCGTCGGTGGTGTAGTGGTAAGCGTGATTGCTTCTCACCCCAAAAGGTCTGGGTTCAATCCCAGTCGGCGCCGCCGGGATTTTCTGAGGTATAAAAATCTCTGATCACGCCTTCCTTCGGAAGTGAAGTAAAGCCGTTGGCCCCCGATCTATGAGTTTGATGGTCGATAGGTAGGGTTCAGGTGTGGAATCTGCCTCCTGGCGTCGTTAGCAATGGTACTCAGTACGGAAAACAAAATCGACAGAATACAAATCAAGGGAAAAAATTTACATAATCAGTTTGGATATATTTTTTTTTTCCTGATTTGAGTAGTATTGTGACTGAGAAACAACTTAAGCAAAGCCCACAGTCGTTCACAACTCTTTGAACATTCTATTTGCTATTAAACTATTTGATTATGATCACTCCGACGAAATGTGAATTGCCAATTAATTTTCGTTGAACATTTGAACTAGAACTTGATGAAGTCAAATGCACATTGAAATTTGTGCATCTGTCGAGGATAATCAATTATCGCATTTAAATTCAATAGTAAATACAAATGCTCTTTCTTTTCACAAGACATTCCTAGATGCCATCATTCACTAGGTTATCATTATCCCCATTTCAACTAGACTTACAATGTCCCCTACAAACCTGCTCTTATGTTCAAATAAATACAATGCATTCCAAATCAGTTCTCAAACTTCAACCCGGAGACATCAGCTCAGTCCTCATGGAAGTGGAATTTCGTTGCACTGTGTTATCATTTTCTTATTCCTCGCGATCTCTTGCTCGCCGTCACATCCAGAGTGAGGTGAGGAAAGCAAAACGGATTAACCATTTCAGCAAGTTGTACTTTCTCGCCATGTTCAAATCACTGATATTTAGCTTAAATCACCGCATCCAAAGTGAGACACTACACGCATTATGGTTGTTTTTTCCTTTTTATATGTTTTGCTTAATCACACACTGAAGGAGAAAGAGACAGAGGGGAAAGGAGACATACACACAAAACACAAACACACACACCTGGTAGCAGCGGGATGACACGGAAATTACACCTCACACACTCTGGATCTCATCCCCAGGGGCAGGGCAAGAGATACTGGGCACTCGTCCGCTACGATCGCTCCATACGAGTTGTGTGCACGGTGGAATTGAGTTGACACTAATCTCGGTCGAACAAGTGCTGGTGCTGGCGGCGATAACCGGGTTGTGTCCGACAGCGACGATCCGAAAATCCACTTAAAATGCAACCGCTTGCTAGCTCCCGATCGATTTCCCGGGCAGGGGCAGGAAGAATGAGCTGGGGGAAGGATCGGGAAATCGGGATAAGACGATGACACCCCCGCACTTGACCGGGATTGTAATGTAATGTTTGTGCACCAACGCGGAAGTGCGAGCGAAGAAAACGTAGAAATCGGCACGCGCGAGTGAGTTGAACGACGGTCGGAAATCCAAGCGACGAACCGAACTGATCGAGCAACAGAGAAGGACTGCCGTAGTCGTGGTCGATGCCAAACGCCAAACCAGTCGGCGGAGAAGCAGATGATCGATGCTCTGGAAACAAAAATTAGACGACGAGTGCTGTGGGACGACCGCTGAGTGAGAGAAAGATGGACGATGAAGTCAGCTAGCAGGGTTGGGGATATTGTTTGTTCATAAATACACACTACGAAAAAGTCATGTAAATTTCCGTGCCCAGAGACCGACACATGCAAGCGGCCCAAATGACATAAGAATCAGTTGAAAGAAACGAGAAAATCAATTCAATCAAGCGTACTTTTCGGCGAGTTGCGTATGTTTCGGTTTGGGAACACTTAATTTTACATGACATGTTTGTTTACGTTCCATAATTTACGTCAAATCTGTTTGTTGAAGCCCGATGATGTGATATAACTGAACAATTACACGCCAAATGACGAATCGATCTGACGCGACCTTCTCCAATTTTCATGAAACTTTGCATAATTGTTTGTTATGATCAATCATTCACAGTTGAGCTAAAATTCGGTTATTTTGAATCTTGCGATTTATGGCGTATTTGATATTTTCCGGAAAAATACACACGGATAAAAATTGAATTAATAATATATAAAGAAAAAACTATTAAATCTTAAATAACAAGAAATCATCCTCTTTAATATTTTGCAATATTTTTATATTAAAAAGCATTAAAATCGTATAGAATGCAAAGAAATGGTTTACACGTATGAAAGTGTAGGCCATATACGTGCAAATTTGAATTTCTTTTTACACGATTAGTTATTACGTTATATAGGTTCTATAAAAATGTTTCATTGCATATAAATCAAAACTTTTAATTCTATGCTATTTGACTTAAGCATTGCATCTCATTTTTACATTTGATGTTGACTTAATCTGTAGAAATTTACGTTTCTTTCTATACATTATTATACGACTTCTGATTGTGTGGTATTCGCAGTTCCCATGCCTTGTTGAACAAATCCTCCAAGCAGGGTTGCTTCCACTCACTAGCTATAAAAAAATGTTTTTCGGAATTATACAATCATTAAATGATATAATGATGTAATGTACTTATAAGTAACAAGAAGAGGATGTAAAGCATATGTTTGACTCATAAAACCTGGAAATTTCGCTTTCAGAGCGTCACAATCAGCGATCTTATGATTCGTGAGCGTTCACTCAGAGTGAGCGCTCACGAGTCGTAAAATCGTTGATTGTGACACACTGAAAGCAATATTGACAGATTTTTTGTGAAAAATATATACTTCACGACCTCTTCTTGCAACTTACAAGTACTAATTATCATTATACCATCTCATGATTTCATAATTCCGAATAACATTTTTTTAAAGCAAGTGAGTGGAAGTAACCCTGCCTCCAAGTATTCTTTGAAATATTCAACTGAACTATCCCAATGAAAATCATGCTGTTACTGCCTCTATCAAATCTGCATTTAATTTCCCATTTCATATAAAGAAATACTTTATTACACTTTGAATCGATGCGACCAAATTACTGATCAAACTCCATCCAAAAGAACAGTACCCAATAGGAACAGGTGAGTCCGTTGAGCAGCACCAACCGAGGGCTGCGGCATATACGGTCGACTCAAAGAGAGCGTGCACAGCATACGTTATTCGCGGTCGCGTTCGCCTATGTAGAGTTAAACGACGAGTCTCGTATCGGAAACTGACCAAGCCACAGGGAAAAAGGAGCACGCGAGCAGGCCTCCATCGTCGTCGTCGTCGTCGTAGTCGTCGTCGTGATCGTCGTTACTTCCCCATATGATCTACCGACTTGGAAGCGGATCACGGTGAGAGCGCTCCAGTGCGCCAGGAAGAGAGAAGAGCGACACGAGACCAAACAGAAAGCAGTCTTAATGATGCTATTACGCTGCCAGATTTAAGACATTGTAAAAATATAACTGTACATGTTTGAAAAATGTTCAGCGCTTTGTAAGAAGTCCAAACCCAGCAGCCGAGAGAGAAATCCGCCGTCTCTGCGAGCTGTTGCTCATTCGCGTTATGTTTTGGCGTTTGGGAGCACGAAATTTTCCTACGACCATGTGCAAACAACATGAATGATCATGGGAGTCTGCGGGTGCAGCACCCGCAGTGGGTTGTTGTCTAAAATTGCACATCGTTATCCGAGGTGTGTGCGTCAGAGAGGGAAAGAGCGAGAACGGACACAGAAAAACAAAACTACCCACCGCTTGGGTTTTTTAAACTCAAATTTGAGTTATTTGACCTCTGTCCGTTTCATTTCCTCTCGCTATTGTTGTCAAAAATAGAACGAAAGATTCGACTCAACCGTCTAGTTCCGTACAAGAAGCCAAAATTGAGTAATATGCGATATACCCAAATTTGAGTTAATTGAACTTAATTTTGGGTAGAAAAAATTGAAAATTACTTAGCGATGGGTAATTTTTTTTGCCGTGCTTAAATGCAAACTACTTTGAGCCGGTTTACCCAAATTTGGCTTATTGTACGGAACATGGGAGATGAGTGAAAAGAACTTAATTTTGGGTTGTTTTGAATTTCTGTGGATGGAGTCCAAACAAAAACAACTGGCAGCAACAGTGAAACCCCTCGAGATGGGAATCTTTTGCATCGACGTGAATGTTTTTTTTTTGGTGGTTGGATTGTTTTGATAACGTAAATTTGCGTTTGCTAGCAGGTATGGAATATGAATTGGTTTGCACTTTCCTCGCAGCAGCGGATTGATTTCAGTTCTCACGGTTCTCCGACGGTTGCTTAGTGGATGGTTGTAAGTGGATTGGGATTGGTTAAGTTTCTCATTATCAAAATGAGCACATAAACAAACAGAAACAAAAATCTTAGTCGGATCGACGTCTGATTTGAAATAGTGTTGGTCAATTAATCCGAAAATGCCACTGGAAGGAAGTCAGGGGAAAGAAAAAGGCAATTGCTGGAGTGGTGAGAGGAACAAAAAAAAAAACTAATTGAAATGTGAGTCAGTGTGTCTATCAAACGGTGAGCGATGCGTGAAATTTAAACGAGACTGGGCCATAAAACTGGATGGTGTGGTCGAATTTTAATGGTACGGTTGCATGAATAATGAATTTGAAGATGTTTCGGGAAAAATAGGATTGGATAAAGAGACCAATTTTGGATATGCAACAAGAAGTCATGTAAAAGTACGTCGTGAATCTTCGGATTCCAATAAAGCCTGACTTTCGACCTATTTCAGTACAATGATAACCATTTGGTTATGTTGGTTCAGCATTGCTTTTTTCCCCTTGATTTGTTTTCCGTCGATCTTAATTTCCGTGCTGAGCACCAATGCTACCGACGCCAGGGAGGCAGCTCAGACACCTGGACCCTATCTATCGACCCAGCAACTCATGAACCGGGGACCAACGGCTCTACTTCCCTTCCGAAGGAAAGCGTGATCAGAGATGTTATGCCTCAGAACATCCCGGTGGCGCCGACTAGGATTGAAGCCAGGCCTGCTGGGGTGAGGGATAATTACGCTTACCACTACACTTCTGGCACCGCTAGTAATGCATTGCTGGAACTGGTCAATTTAAGGTGATACTCTAAGAAAGTCTTAGCGAGAAATTGCAAAAGCTCGAACAGGAATGGATCGCATGTCAATCTATCCAGCAGCCCACTTTTCACAAAAGTTGATAAAATTATGTTTTTCGTAGTGTACCAACAGCGCACCATAACATACCTTCAAGGATTTCGAACGTTCCTTGTAGGTTCCTTGTTTTTGTTTTGAGTGCTCTGCTGAATAGACGGGTGATTTTTCGAAAATCTTCATTAAACCTTCCAAAACCTTCACCAATGTAGTGTACCAATAGCGTATCCTTCGAATCTGAGGTTCATTTTTAGCGCACCTTGTTATTTGGGATTTACTTCGTAAAAAGAAAACTCGTTATTTAGGATTCATTTCGTAAAAAAAACCTCGTTATTTGGGATTTACTTCGTAAAAATAGGTTTTTGAAAATATTGTCACATACCCCACAATATGGATATTTTTCAAAATAGAGAGACGTGTAGGGACCGTAATTCGATGTCTAACGCCATTTTGAAATTCAAGATGGCGGCATCCGGTTAATGAAAAACTGAAAAATACTTTCAATACCCCACAATATGGGTATGTACTTTGACTATATGTTTCGTCAAGTCGACGATGACAGGAGCACAGACCGTGGTAGAGGTAACAATAGCTGCAATTTCAAAACCTACGACTGGATGCCTTCCTTCAGATAACAACTGCAGTGCGGTAAAAATCGGTAGAATTGTTTCAAACACATCGTTGGTAATCATCTCTTTTTGCCAGTTGTGGCGGGGGGGGGGGGGGGACAGCCCTCACCATCCCTCTCCAAAGGGGGAGTTTGGTAAAGAGAGATGATAAAACTGATTTGTATTTACATAAAAAGTTGTCTAGCTCGCTTTCTTTTATGCAATTTTCACACTGCCGTACTCTAAAAGGAACTATCAAATCTATACTTTCATCTCCTCGTCTACCGTATATAAATTACCACTTCAGTCTGTTATTTGATATTAGCATCTTCAACTATGTAAATCATTGACTTCGCGCAGAATTTAAAGTAAAACATATAGTCATATTGTGGAATTTTCACAGAATTTCCAAGTGTTTTTGTAACCGGAAGCCGCCATCTTGGATTTCAAAATAGCGTCAGACATAGATTTCCAGTTCTTACACGTCACCCTGATTTCAAAAATACCCATATTGTGGAGAATTGAAAGTATTTTCCAATTTTTCATGAACCGGATGGCGCCATCTTGGATTTCAAAATGGCGTCAGACATGGACTCCAATTCCAAAGATACCCATATTGTGGGATATTTCACAGTTTCTCCCAGATTCCCATAATCGCAAAAAAAA